TAGCATGTTCATTGTTAGCCTCCATCATACATTCACACGTCAGTACCATACTGCCAATAATTTTAACTTGTGGGTCTTATTTGTTGACTTCCAATAATAACATTGAAAAAAATAATGATATGATAAAAAATAAAAAATTCTTTTTTATTTTTTTCCTTCTCTTTCCTTTCTCTCCCCTTGGAACCCAAACACTGGGTTGGATGGAACTAACACATGGGTTTCGAAGAACCCAAGCACTAGGTTCCTTTGAACCCAGTACACCTGGGTTCGTTAGAACCCAGACATAGGTTCTATGGAACCTAGTGGCAAAAAATTTTTAAAAAAAAATCATTTTTTAGTTGGTTTTGTTGTTTGATGATGATGAAGAAACCAACAAGGATAAAGATTGGTTTAGATGAATAGATTGATTGAGATGCTACGGTTTGCAAAAGTTGAAGAAAAGGAAGAGGGAGAAACGAAAAAGGGAAAAAAATAAAAAAGGGAATTTTTGCTTTTTTGGGTGGGATGAGTTGGAATGCCATGTCATTTACTTTTGCTAACTTGTCATTTATTTTTGCCAACTTGTCAATTTTTATGTTTTTTCCGTCAATTAACATGAAAATATTAATGGAAGGACCAAATTGAAGTAAAAATGGTAAACAATAGGGACCAAATCAGGGATTTTTTGAGTTTAAGGACTTAATTGGGGTCCGTAAAATAGTTGAGGGACCAAAAAGGGGATTTAACCCAAAAATTATTCCAAAATCATTTTCTTTATTAACTTGTACAAAACTAGTTAAAAATTAATGTATCAATTTTAAAATAAAAAATAATTGAAGGATAATTTTTTTTAATTATGTAGAACTTTACATATTATTAATTATTTTTATTTTATTAAATTTATAATATTATATATATTTGTTTATTTAATAACATATAAAAATTATTAATAAAAATTAAAAATATAAAAAATTAAGGCAAAATACCTAAATCTACCCCCCAAATATAAAAGCAGAGATGGATTCACTTTCAAATTTAACGCGTGAAATCATCTGATGATCAACAATCTATCAATTTGTTATGTTACTAATAATGGATTGCCGACATCAGATGATATCAAATTAATAGATTGCTGATATTAGATGGCGTCACACATTAAATTTGAGGTATTTATCCAAGTATAAAATTTTATCAATGGATTTGTCCTCAATTTTTATTCGGGAGTGAATCCGTCCCTACCACTATTCTTTTAAGATGAATTTAAGTATTTATCCTTTTAATAATTCGCATATCATTAGTTTCTTTTAAGTTGATCTCTATTTGGATAAAAATCAACTTTTTTCATGTTTTATTGATCGTGGACAATTTATTCTACTTAAAATATGACTAATGTTACAATTCAATTAATAGTAAATGTATTACTTTCATCATCTTCTCATTTCTTTACTTTTTATAACATTTACACATCCAATAATGATACAACTTTCACCACTTTCATACAATTATAATAATAATTAACACTTTACAATGTCATACTTTTAGACAATAATAATAAGATTTCTTGTAACCTTTCTGTTTATAAAAGATTAATCACTATAGTTTGTAACCTCTCACTTAATGAATGTTTATTCCTCGTTAACTTTTATAACCCATTTATATATATATATATATAGGGTTTACAATCTTACAAATGTGTGGGGAAAAAAAAAAGATAAAAATAAAAAATATATATTTTATATTTTTTCACTTTACCTCTCTATATTTTTTCTTCTATTTTTTTCTTCTAATTGATTTTTTTTTTCATTTTACAGAATTTTATTAATTAATTATTAGTAATTGCACAACTACAGTGATCTGTCAGGTCAGAACCCGAAAACCCGGATGGTGGCATGTTGGCAATTAATAAAAAAACCAAATTCGAGCTGGACATGTTCCCGACCAGCGCGCTGTTCTCCTGTCCTGTTCCATCTCCGATCTCTGAAATCTCTCTGAGGTCGCCCGCAAACGGCGGCAATGGCGATCCTTCCACGCTTCCTCTTGGCGGCATTTTTCTTCCTCTCTGCTTCTGCTGATGTTCAAAGTAAGTCTTCTCCATTTTCTTCACATCTTTATGCATTGAGCAAGCTATTAACTGCTGCAAAATCAAATGATTCTGTACGATGCATCTATGTCGCCGACTTGAAAAGTTATTTACAGTCTATTTGACTGATTGACCTGCTTCGAAACTTCAGAAATTTTGTTTTTTTGTTTGTTGAGTGTAGCTTTAGTAATTCCTGATGCAACTTTTTATTTTTTATTTTTTATTTTTTTTGGGTAAGTACCTTATGCGTGTTTTTCTTGATTTGAGTCTTAGCATTTCAGTTTAATTGATTGCTTATTTAGATTTGCGTATAGTATTGTTTAAAATGTGTGATTTTCTCGAGTTTTGATGCCGGATCTTGTGTTTAAGACTGGAGTCTTTATGATAGTTGACTTCTCTCTCTAGGTTTATATGCTTTGAGTGCTTAGGAGCTGAGACACCTGATGAGAAGGAAAGAACCTTTATTTTTGTGATCTTAAATTGCCTATTTTGGACTGTCCATTTTCAGACATCAAAAGTGATGGATTGTTTCATAGTCATTTCACTTGCAAATGATTGGTGAGTCTGTCCAGGCATTTTTAGTACCTTTCATCATTTCTCAAAATTAGTTGAAACCTTAGTCTATTCCTGGTATGGAGGATGAAAGTTTCGAGGGGAAATACATAAATTAAAGTTTAAGTTCAATTGAATTGCCTAGTAAAATACACCTTGTTTTGGCACTATAGAAAAAATTTCCTTTCATGCAAGCCTATGAATTCTGGAATTGAATGCTTATTGGTAAACATGAAAAATGTTTTGTGCTTAATGAGGGACATGTTGTGTGTGCATGTCATATTCATATAAGAAGATGAAGTTCTTGAGTAAGCCAAAAAGGAAATATATTGCCAAAGAGGGTAGGCGATGTGTGCTGTTGAGTGGAAAAATCTCATATCGAGTATACAACGAAGAAGTATGTTGGTTAAATCTAAGGAGGGCTACTCCACCTATTGTCAATTGGTTTTAGGTTGGATGCAAAGTTGCAAACCTTGTGTTGAAGCACACATGTACAATTGTTCCATCCTAGAAAGCCCCGTTGAGTATATAACGAAGAAGTATGTGTGGGTTAAATATAAGAAGGGTTACTCCACCTATTGGTAATTGGTTTGCACAATTTTCATGTGTGAAAAGTGAGCTACATTGAAAGAGCAGAAGAACTGTTGTATCCATCACTTTTTTGGCCTCCCTCACAAATTCTAAGCATCAGAAAATAAAAAAAAAAAAAATAATAATAACCTTAAACTTTGAACTCAAGTTGACATCTTCAGAGACCTATTCCTTTTAAGTCTTCCCTTTCAGGCTTTAGTCCTTTCTCCTTTGATAGCATCCTTGGAACTTGGAAGCATTCTCTTTGGGAACATTTGTCTCTTAATCCTAAAATTATAGTTGGGAATCATAAAATTTAGGATAGAGCTATAACTGACAATATGAAACAGATTACACTGAGTCTTGCAAACATGTAAAAAGAGATATCACTTAAAAGAATGCAAAGCACATGCTTTGTAGATCCAATATACAAGTGTTCTCTTGTAAGGTACAGAGTCCATGTTTTATACATTATACATTATCTCCAAGTTGTGATCCTTGCTATATGTTTTGTTTGAGTACTTTAAATATTTATCTTTACCTAATATGTAACATGAAAAAATTTGGCAGCAAATGTAACTAACAACCCTGCGGATAAGTTGGTTGCTGTGATCAACACCAATAGAACTGCACAAAAGTTATCATCTCTCTATGATAACCCAGGTTTGGCCTGCATTGCTTTGCAGTATATAAGAGCATACCAAGGTGACTGCAGTGCCGTTGGAGGGCCAAATGCCAAGAAGCCAGCAGATTCAGAATTTGCTGAAACTTTTGCCCCCAGCTGTGGTGTTCAGGTTGCAAGTCTTTCTCCAATCACTGGTCGTTTTCTTGGATGTCAATCTAAATATGTCCATGCTGCTGAAGCATTCTCAATATTGGTCAATAATAATAAAAGCTTGGACATTCTCTACGATAAGAACCACACTGAAGTTGGTGCTGCTGTGACTGGCACTGATGGTGGGTCTCCCTATTTCTGGTGTGTGTTGTTCAGCAATGGCAAGTCTAATAGCAGCTTTGTTTTTGAGGATGGTGTGGCTAAGATAACAAGACCTGGGTGCTTCAGTGGTGCTAATGATGAATGCAGCCATGCCAACTATTTGTCTCAACCTGGCCATCTATGGCTGTATGCCGTTACATCTTTCATTGCCGTGGGATACATTTTTGGTATTTGATTCTGAACTCAAGGATACACACTGTTTTTTCCTCAATTTGGTAGTCATTTCATTTCAGCAGCTTACTCATTGCCAACAGCGCATTTGGTTTATCGTCACTATCATTATCCTTATGGAGTGTAAGTCTGTAGCCAACTCCATTCATTTTTCTACTCATTTCTTATTCATGTGTAAAATCCTGCTTTAAAAATGTCCCCTTGGAGGAACATTATTTTTTTCTCTTTCATGTACAATTTGCTCTTTTACTCCATGTGATTGAGGGAAGAGAATAAAAAAAAGAAAGGAAAAGAAAATGTATCTGCATTCTTCTTTGGCTAACTGCATTAAAGGGAAGGTAAGGCAGGGAAAAGGATGGGTCTATGCAGTATGCACCCTTCATCTGTACTTTGCTTTTCTTTATTAGGTCTTTCCAAACAAAATAAGATTGAATCTCCTATTTACCAATTTACAAACCCTTCATTCCCTTTTTCTTTCTTTCCTTTAGGACTCGTTCGGTAACTGTCCATCAAATGCTTATTTGGTTACCGCTCAGAAATGGTTGAGAATGAAGTTGCTCCTCTTTGGTATGATTATCTGCAAACTAGAGAATTTGCTTGTGTTTTTACTTACTTGACACAAAAACCGTAACTTTTTCTCCTGTTCGACACGAGAACCTTAAGTTGGTGCAAGAAATTTCCAATTCAAAACCCTCATTTGATCAGTTTTCTTTCCTATCGCTATCAACTTCAGCTCATTTCTATGCAAAAGCTTCTGATTTTCTTTCAGCCTTCCTTTTCAATGTGAAAGGGGGGGCATGAAAAGTGCCGCCAAGGGCATATTGTTTTCGTCTTTTGACTCGCACCCAAGATGACCAACCCACCCACCCACCACATCCACCAGCGGCATAAAAAAAATGTCAGCCGTCAGATCAATGAAAATACCACGCGTCATCCATCTGGACCACCATGTCGGAGGGAATTACTTTTTAAAATTAAATTGCGGAATTATTATGTTCTTGACTGCGTGTTTTTTCACTATTCATAAAACACGAATTGCATTGCAATATCGCAGAGGTAGTGAAGCAAACAGGCACAAAACCCAATACTTTCCGTTAAATTTCGCGGGCACTATTTAAAGCTCGAGGCTTTGCTATCTGGGTTTTTCGTATCGAAGCTGAAGACCTCGAGGATGCCGGCGATGGCTGGTATGGGGTTTAACCAGAAGAATGATTCGCGAGAAAGTGATGGGATTTTGGGAAAACGCAACGAAAAGGGTGAGTTTTCTGCTTCTGTTTTGAATTCTTTAGGGATCCAACGTGGTGAAGAGGGTGCTGCTTCGATTTCGGATAATGGGTATCGGGGATTCGATTTTGATCTCAATGAAGCACCGGCTGTTGAGGAGGATGGAATTGGGATAGGGTTTGTCGGCGATGTCGATTCTCTTTCTAGATTTTGTGAGCAAGAAACAGAGAATCGTCAATCAAGTTCTTTGCTTTTTGGTGTTAACTTGAAAAGAATCGCAGATGATGAGGAAGCTCGTTCTCCGCGTAAAAGGAAGAGGTTTTCGTATGAAGAGAAGGGAAAAGCAAAAGCAGTTGATGATGATCAATTTCTGCTGGGTATTGATGATGGGGACTTGAATCTTAACCTTGGGTTGGGAAGTAAGGCTTATACATGGCCTTCTTTATTTGATACTCCAAGCATTCCTGAAAATAATCTAGGTCCTGAGGAGGGATTGGTGGATAATACAAGGGAATCTGAACTGAGAAGAAGGAGCAGTACTGAAAATAATCTTGGTCCTGAGGAGGAATTGCTGAATAGTTTGGGGGTATCTGAACCAAGAAGAGGGAGCATTGCTGAAAATAATCGAGGTCCTGAGGACGAATTGGTGAGTAGTTTGAGGGAATCTGAACTAAGGAGGAGGCAGGAGGAAGCAATCAGGCAACATGACAATGCTAAAGACTATGCCCAGAGATATCATGAAAGCCAGCGCTTAGAATCTGCTAAACAAAATGAGACAGGAGTTATGCAGGATCAGCTAGCAGAAGATTTTGAAAGTCCGTTTGGAATGGCAATGGAGATGATAAAAAGGCGAAATTCAAGAAGTGGTAACAAAAGGAACTTAGGTGATGCATTGGAGCCAGGGTTTAAGTGGGTGCCTACTGGAAGTAAATGCCATGGTACTGCAGTTCGCTGCGCTCCTTCACTCCTTGACCTCAGTTTGAGTGTTCTTGCAAAGAATTCTGAGGCAATTGAATCACTTGAGCATGTTCCTGAAGCACTGAGGCATAAGCTCAGTGAGATGGTCTGTGATAGTAGGAAAATGGATGCTAAGTTCTTGGAACTTCTTGCCAGGGGATCCCCATCTGAGATACGTGCAAAGAGCTGTTCACAGATAACAGATGAAGAATTCTCCAAGATATTCGGTAGTTTTGACACTAAGAACTTGATTGTAAGTGATTTTGCGCATTTCATTCTCTATGCTATATTTAAAATTTGCTCTTTCCTTCTTATGTTGTTATTGATTTCAGTATTCTAATTTTCTTTGTCATTTTTTTAATAAAATTAAAATATCACAAAGTGTTTTTAGTTAATTATTCACTTTTACCTTCTGAAGTCTTTGAGGTTCAACTCTATGATTATGCATGCAAGCAATATATATTGTCTGCACACTGCAGTGTGGTTTGCTTGTAAATATTTTACCTATGTGATTACTATAAAAGAGAGTGACAGGGACTAAGAAAATAAAGGAATTAAAGTTTGGATTTTACTTTAAAATATATTAATACTCAGCTTTTGGCTTTTTATTTGTTCAGAACCATGTAATTCTGAGAGCTATGCCAAATTCCAAGAAAAATATGAACTGCATAATCAATCATTTTTATTTTCGCAAGAGATATGTGTATTTCATAGTTTCTTTGCTTGGTATAAAGATTTCAATAAAGTACTTAACTTGTTTGAGTTAATCTTGTTAGGACTTTGGCTTTATGTTAATTGTGTTGTTTTTTGGCTCTGGATTTAGGTACTACAACTTGACAATTGTGGACCTTTTATGCATGACTATGTGTTACTTGACACCTTAGCTCAGTCATCAAGAAAGCTTCCTGCCTTAGCTACCTTCTCGTTAAGTGGTGCATATCGTTTATCAGATGACGGACTAAAAGCACTTGCAGAGTCTGCACCTGCACTGAAGTCCATTAATCTCAGCCAATGCTCTCTTCTCACATCTGCTGGTATAAACACTCTGGCTGGATGTTTTGAGTCTACTTTAAGAGAGCTTTATCTAGACGAGTGTCAGAATATAGATGCCATGGCTATATTGCCTGCACTGAAGAAGCTTAAATGTTTGGAAGTGTTGTCAGTGGCTGATATTCCAAGTGTTTGTGATGATTTTGTCATTGGAATTGTTGAAGCATGTGGCAAAAATATGAGAGAGCTTGTTTTTGCTTCTTGTGTGTAAGTTACTCCGACATATTATTCTAAATTTCTAATAGAATAAAGAAGTGTTAATAGGAGCTTTAAGTTGGAAAATCAGTTTCTCTGATCTAGATATGGTTTTGCTGATTGATTGTTTTTGACTGATGCAGAAAATTGACTGACATGTCTCTCAAAAGTGTGGGAGAAACATGTTTGAAGCTATCTGCCATTGATCTTTCCAACTTGTATTGCTTGACTGATTCAACAATGAGATATCTTGCCAATGGCTGTCAATCAATTCATAAGCTTAAACTTTGTCGCAACAGTTTCAGGTTCCTCCATATGCTATCCTATATTCACTGCTCTATATTTAGGTTCTCTAGACCTTAAACTGTCAGCGGTGATGTTATGTTTTATTTATGCCTCATGTTTCAACCTGTCAAATAACAGAACTTTTTATTTATGGTTTATTTGGTCAGTTGATCTATTCCATTTACTTAATGTTATGGTTTGTGTTTATTCACTGGTATGCTATCCTTTCCACTTGATTATTGTCCCAGAGGGTGATGTACAGGAAATCTTATAGGACTTTCTTAAAAAACTTTTTAATTCTTAATAGAACTATTTAAAAACAATGTATATAGATGAAGAGTATGGAAAGAAATTGAAATGTGGATAAGGTGTTAAACTAAGAAAATAAGTGTCAGCAATTGTCTGAAAGAAAATTCCAATTCAAGTATTCAGTATTGCTTTTCTTTTTAACATAAAATCAATGTCTTTATCCAAGCTTCTCTAACAGCCTTTTTAATTTTTTTTTCCCTATTTTAAATTTCTCAATACAGCAAAGATCTTTAGTACCCTAATTGAGTTAAGGAACCCTATATTTTTCTTTTTATCACAGTGATGAAGCTATTGCTGCCTTCTTGGAAGTCTCTGGGGGTGCTCTATGTGAACTTTCACTGAATAATGTTAAAAGGGTGAGATTTCAATGTGCCTCTGCTGATTACATTGTTGTCTTTTTATTTTGTCTGCACTCTGCACTCCACTTGGTGGTGATTATTGACCAAATATCACATAATCTAAATAAGTTCAAATAGTTTTTATTCTACAGCCATGGTGTGCATTTAGGATCATCTCAGGTTCTCATGTCCTGTATTGCAAACATGTGGTAAACTAATGAAGTAAATTGTACAGGTTGGACTCAACACTGCATCGTCACTAGCCAAATGTTCAAGAAAGTTGTGCAGTTTGGACCTGTCATTTTGCCGCAAAATAACAGATGAGGCACTTGGACTGATTGTTGATAGCTGCCTGTCGTTGAGGCTGCTCAAAATCTTTGGATGTACAGAGGTACATATGCCATGCCAAGCTAGTTCTGTTTTAATTTTGGACTGCCACAAAACTGCTGTTTACACATATTGAAATACTCAAATTTCTTGAGTTCATCACACTGAATTTATTTAGAATGCACTAAAATGAGGTCTCAACCTTCTTTGTGTTTTCTAAATGTCTTAGATGCCTCAGTTTACATGATTAGCAGTTTGACACAAAATCTTTATATATGCCCATGATTTCTGGACAGCGTAATATGCTTCGTCAACTGATGCCTGTCTAGTTTGGGTTTTTTTCTTCTTTTTTTTTTTTTTTTGGGGGGGGGGGGGTGTCACTGTTCAGCTACACAAAAATTATGGTGTTGCTTTATGACTTAATGAGGTGTGAGTGGGGGTTGCCCTAATTATAGTAGAATGACTAGAGTCAAACACACTGATTCATCTCAAGCCATCTCAATTTGGTAGAATTTATTCTTTAACTTCAGCCCTGGTGCTAAATCTAAAGAATCTTGTATGTGATGTAGTCTTTTGAATGTCCCGGATTTTTGTATAGTAAATGCATCATGCTTTCAGTAACGCTAACTGAAGACCCCATAGTTCATGTCAATTTATGCATAGACTGAGTGCTTATTTCTCCTCATGAGGAATTGACTGGCCCTAATTGAGGTTAATGCAAGTTCAAAGTCAGATAGTAACCCATCAAATGGTTTAATTCACGTTTCTTTCTCTTGCAGGTTACAAATTTTTTTCTGAATGTACATTCAAATCACCCGGTGCAGATTATTGGATTGAAAAACACACCACTGTTAACACATTCCAATGAGGAACCCCAAGAAACTCCACTTCGCTATTCCCCCCTGACAGTTTCTGCTGATAGGTAAAATCCAGATAGAAAACTTGTCATCTTTTGTACAGGAAGAGCTCCTTGTTTCCATTTCCTTAACCAGCTTCATTCTTCCAAATATTTGACACTGATATGATAGCTGAAAGTTGCAATCATTCGATAATAATCCATTTATAGGCTTCATTTTTTGGAAGATTTACCTGCTCCTTTTTTCCTGGTATAGAAATCAGGTCCTTGACTTCTTTGGATTCAAAAATAATGTATATGACAGAATATGCAATAGTTTCTATGATCAAATTTCAAGTGATTGAATCTGCTGCACTATAGTCAAATTTTCAATTTTGTTCCATGGTTTATATCATTTTGTTCCTTTCAGTATGATCAAAAAACAGGATGATCTATGGTTTATAGTCGAATTTTGAATCTGAAACCAAGAAACATTGGATTTACATCTCTAAAACACAGCCAAAAGACACAGCTTTCTCTTTTTAAATATCATTGAAGCTTCTTAGTTGCCCATAGAAGCTTTGTACTTCAAAACAAGAGCAAGAACCAGAAGAATCAGAATGATTCCCCCAGAAGCACCAGAAGCTTTAAACTTCAAAACAAACGCTAGAACAAGAAGAATGAGGATGATTCCACTGGAAGAGCCTCCAACCCTGTGAATCGAGTAAGGATCAAACCTGCTAAAGCTCTGATCGAAGTAGAGCGACAGGAAGATGGCCAAGATCAATACAAGAAGCAGCAGAGGCAACCAGGAGGACAGGTCGCCTGGTTGCTCATCCTCATCAAGTTCATCTGCAGGTGATTGCCTGTTGACATAGAGAGGTGAAACAACTGCCAGTATCGTCAAGCCTATGGCTACCAGTCTCTCTACAGAGGAACACCTGTTCCTCTGGTCTGTCTCCGTCGGTTCCATTCCCAGAAGAAACTAGACACAACTTCAGACCACCATGTTCTTGTTGAATTTCTATGTCCAATGCCAAGAATCTCTTATTTCATACATCGGTTTTCTTCTACGGTAGAAAATTTTGATCAATCCCATCATTCTGGATAATCAATGATGAATTATCAGAATAAAGGGATTGTCGGCCCTTTTTTCCATGGAATCTTTCCAGAAAATTTTAGATATGCCTAGTGCAAAATTGTGGGGTGGTGGCTTCTGTGCGAAGCTTCCCCAGCATAATTGATTGGAATCTGATGCTTATTGCTCTTGAATTTGGGAAAAGATAAAAAGATATGAATTTGATAGCCATTTAATTTTGCATTGTATGAGACAATACAAAGGTATCAAATTACCGGGAAACCAATACCGATCACTCAGGAGACGAAAATTTACATGAAATGGTGATCTATTTGATGCCATTGGAGCTCTTCGACCGGCTTCCTTGGAGTCTTCTCATCCACTTCTTGTTGGACGTTGTCGGAGATTGTCCTGGCTCGGGAAGTTCAGCAGGAAGCGCAGCAGCAGTGCTGCTGATCGCGTTGAGAACCAGGAACGCCAGAATGGGAGAGAGGTCCAATGTCCCTGCTAACGGTGGAATGATTCCGCGGAATATGTTCAAGTACGGATCACACAAAGTACTGAGTCAAGAGAAGAATTACATCACAAATTAGGAAAATCACAAACAAAGGATTCGGATTCTGCAAAAACAATGGATGAGATTTGGTAGTACCTGAGTGGGTTGACGATGACGGACGGAGAGTTAGGGAACCAGGTCAAAACCAGCCTAACAATCAACAGGGAGTTGTATATGTTTAAGAAATTCAGGATTCCGTTCGCCACCACCATACCGGCCACCGAATCTCCGGGTAGAACCGCCGCAAAATTATGTTTCGAAAACGAGAGATTCACTTTCTTCCTGTACTCGTTCCTGCGTGTAACAAACTGTAGCAGAAATTGATTTAGTGACACTCAAAATTCTTACTAAACACATCGAAACTACATGATAAGAAGAGATACCTCATGGCAGAAGCTTTGAAACTCAGAGGATAAGGAGAGGATTTTCTTGAAAACTGGATTCTGAGAAGCGAACGAGTTAAGGCCTTTCAGGAACTCATCGGCGGCGGAGACAGTCGAGATATGCAGGTTGCGAATGACAGCCTGACGAGAAACTTGCGCCGGAATGGGCTTCCACAGCCTCGAAAACGGCGGACCAAATTGCGCTTGAGAAAATGCTGAAGAGAGTAAAACACAGTTCCGCAACAAATTGACTGTTTTACATTTTGTGTTCTCCGTCACCGGCTCGTAATCCACCATCTTTGAAGCCGAGAAATTCAGAGGCAGCACCGGCACCGCGCTTCAGCAGCAACCGAAGAAGAAGATAACGTTACTCGTGAATTCAGAATTTGGGAAGAAATATTCTTTTCGCTCACACGTGGCAGGATTTCATTTGTACATGCTGGCATACGAGCTATTTTGACCACAGGATAAAATTAAACTGTGAACCTCAAATAATGGACGCAGCCAAACAACGAAAGGATATATCAGTATGACGCGGCAAATTCTAATCGCCTCCGCCTCCTCCATTGCTGGTCATTGTCAACCTCTCTGCGTATGTTTTCTACCGCAGAAGCTCTCTTCTG